GACTAAATAATAATAAGAAATATTTAAATTCACATTCAATTTCTTTGTAATTATATGTAATAGTATATAATTTCATTAGAAATTATTGGTCATAATTACATAGTTAAAATCATCATACATTGACTTTATGTTTTTTCTGATCAGGCACTAGATAGAGAACCTATTAAAAGACCTTTCGACTGATGCGATTGCTAAATGGAGCAATTTGTTCACGACACTGGGTTAGGAGACTTGACAATTGTTTCCAACAGAGCAGTGTTGCCTTAGTATCATTATATACAACTGTAGTATTTATTCATACTATTTTGAATTAGATCTTATTTTTATATTGTCATTTTAATTTCAAAGGGATAGTTCACCCAAAAATGAAAATTCTGTCATTAATTACTCACCCTCATGTCGTTCCCAACCCGTAAGACCTTCGTTCATCTTCGGAACACAAATTAAGATATTTATGATGCATTCCGGGAGCTCTCTGACCCTCCCGTAGACAGCAAGGGTCCTTACATGATCAAAGCTCAGAAACGTAGCAAGGAGATCGTTAAAATAATCCATGTGACATCAGTGGTACAACCGTATTTTTATGAAGCCACGGGAATACTTTTTGTGTGCAGAAAAAACAAAAATAACGACTTTATTCAGCAATTCGCCTCCTCCACGTCACCCTATAGTGCCGTTTTGGAGAGTATCACATACATAAACAACATATGCACGCGGATAAGTTGTTTACATTCAGATCAAAGTGCAAACAACATAAACAGCGTATCCGTGTGGCCCAGCTGACACAGAACAGCATATATTGCTTACGGTATTTTTGTTTTCTTTGCGCACAAAGTGCTTGCGGTGTTCGGCCAATCACAATGCACTGGGTCAGCTGGCCAATCAGAGCAGACTGCGCTTGTCGGAAGGAGGGACTTTGTAGAAAACGAAGCGTTTGAGAGAGGCGGGGCATAGAGGACCTACAATAATGGACAGTATTTGAAAAATAATGTGTTTTTTGAACATTAAAGCATGTCAGCATATACTGTTACACCAAATACACAAAATAATGATCTTTAAAATCGCATCATATGACCCCTTTAAAATGGATCCTTGCTGAATGAAAGTATTCAGTAAGTAAACCTTACTGCTGCTAGACTTTTGAACGATATTACAGCTGTATTGTTTTGCATTGTATTATTTGCATTACTTTATCATATTAGCGTTTGATCAAAGGTAATATGAGATGTAAGCTAACAGACTAACGTGCTAGCAGTATGCTGACTAAATAATAATAAGAAATATTTAAATTCACATTCAATTTCTTTGTAATTATATGTAATAGTATATAATTTCATTAGAAATTATTGGTCATAATTACATAGTTAAAATCATCATACATTGACTTTATGTTTTTTCTGATCAGGCACTAGATAGAGAACCTATTAAAAGACCTTTCGACTGATGCGATTGCTAAATGGAGCAATTTGTTCACGACACTGGGTTAGGAGACTTGACAATTGTTTCCAACAGAGCAGTGTTGCCTTAGTATCATTATATACAACTGTAGTATTTATTCATACTATTTTGAATTAGATCTTATTTTTATATTGTCATTTTAATTTCAAAGGGATAGTTCACCCAAAAATGAAAATTCTGTCATTAATTACTCACCCTCATGTCGTTCCCAACCCGTAAGACCTTCGTTCATCTTCGGAACACAAATTAAGATATTTATCATGCATTCCGGGAGCTCTCTGACCCTCCCGTAGACAGCAAGGGTCCTTACATGATCAAAGCTCAGAAACGTAGCAAGGAGATCGTTAAAATAATCCATGTGACATCAGTGGTACAACCGTATTTTTATGAAGCCACGGGAATACTTTTTGTGTGCAGAAAAAACAAAAATAACGACTTTATTCAGCAATTCGCCTCCTCCACGTCACCCTATAGTGCCGTTTTGGAGAGTATCACATACATAAACAACATATGCACGCGGATAAGTTGTTTACATTCAGATCAAAGTGCAAACAACATAAACAGCGTATCCGTGTGGCCCAGCTGACACAGAACAGCATATATTGCTTACGGTATTTTTGTTTTCTTTGCGCACAAAAAGTATTCTCGTAGCTTCGTAAAATTACGGTTGAGCTGTAATTTTGAATTAATGACAGAATTTTCAATTTTGGGTGAACTATCCCTTTAATTAATCATTTTGATATGCGTTGGACTTTATTTAAACAAAAACTTTTATTTTGGATGCGATTAATCGTTTGACAGCACTAGTGTGTATATATATATATATTAGTGCTGGGCAAAGATTAAGCATTAGTGTACATAATATATGTGTGTGTACTGTACATGTAAATATTTTCAAAATATATGCTGTATGTGTGTTTATTTATATATACATAATAAATATACACAGTATACACACATATATTATTTAAACAAAAACTTTTATTTTGGTTGCAATTAATCGTGATTAATCATTTGACAGTACTAATATACACATAGTCGTTTTTTTTATCCTCTTGATCTATGAAAATGGTCTTTTAATTACTTCATGGAATCTCATATTTTTAATGAATCCATTGGATAAGTTCACAAAACTGGTCTGAGCAATTTGTTTCCAAATCAAACAGAATTTGTTTAAAAGAGCGGGTTATCAGGATCTCATTCAACAGAAAATAGTTTTTTTTTTTTGTAATATGATTTTAATAAGTACTATTTTATTTAAAAAATACTATACCATTTATGTCCCGAACTCTTACCACCCACCATGGAAGGAGCCTGCCGATTTGGGTCCAGCTACTCCTGCTCACTAGATACCCAACAACTGGATCAGTCACGGCATCCCAGGCATGACTGATGAACAGAATCAAAGATACTGAAAAAGCCTCCATCTGCATACCAAACAAGAGCGAAACAGAGAAATGAGGGTAAATAAGGGAATACATACGGGATATTTTCTACTTCAGCGATAAGATTGCTGAGATAAAATGCTTCTATGCAAAAAATCTCAGACATAACTTCAGTAGTCAAGGCAGTTAAAGTTAACATGAGATCAAAATGGATTTGTTTGCATAGTGCTTTTTTGGGGGTGGGAGGGGGTTATGGGGGGTCTTTAAGTGAAAAGTGCAACTACACTTTCCTTGAAATAAATAAATCCCAAAAAGGGCCATTCAAAATTAGCAAAATTAATTA